TCGACCGTATTTGTACCAATGACGCCATTGATGATGATGTTAAGTTGTTAAATAAAACGTTAATAGAAAATGGCTATCCTCTGAAATTCATAAATAGATGGAAAGTCCATGGTTCAGCGAGACCTACTGTAGCCTCGGTAGAGAAAAAGCCTGTCTACATCACCTTACCATTCAGAGGTGATTCAAATAGCCTTTTACTGAAACAACGACTTAAATCAGTCATCAATAAAACCTATTGCGCAGCAAAGGTCATCATCAAAGAAAGAACAAGGTGCATGCTTCATTCAAAACCTAAAGTACATGGAAACGATTGCGTCACATCCCACTGTGTTTACCAATTTAAATGTGTGTGTGGTCACACATACATAGGGAGGAGTAATCGTGATCTCAACATTAGGGTGAGTGAACATGTACCCAAATGGCTTCAGAAACAAATACAATCAAGTGACCCGATAAGAGCAGAGGATAAACATCCATCATCCTCTATTGCTAAACATATAATTGAAACAGGTCACAAGATTGATCTAAATTCAGCTTTTGTAGTGCTGTATAAAAGTGTAAAAGGGCGTATACTAAGGTTTATTGAAGCCTTAGCCATACGAAAATTCAAACCCCCTTTGTGTGTTCAAAAACAGTTTGTTCTTACCTTAAACCTACCCTGGTAATATTGACTTATTATCCAGAGTGATTAGGTTTCAAATTGTGTTCACATTATTATTATTATTACTCTTATCATTATCCTTATCTCCTCTTACCCCGTTTCCTGTCTAGTTGACCTTTTATTTTTATATATAAATGCTCTTAACAAGTACATGTGTGACCAGATTTTTCGGAATGTATTGCGCTAATATATCACATAGTTCTGATAATCTTCGTTTTCTCATTACATTGTAGAAATTTATCAAAGGGACTTATTGTTTTAATTAGATTTATAAGGGGATGTCCAGAAGTGTTAATGATGTTGTAAGTTCACTTCTAAGATACCTATACTCTTACGGGTAAAGGTTTAGTGATTGCAGGCGCTCTTTATGTGGCTCGAACTTGAATCCCCGAACTGATTTCGTGACTCGCCGTTGGATACCTTACGGTGTCCTTATTTTTCTGGAGTGTGGGTGGAAATAATGTTCCAGTACTCTAAATAGGGACGAAAGAAACTGTTGAAGATTTTGTAGGAAGTTCTTCCGTCAAACTGGCTAAAACTGCGCATCTATGTTGTCAGTGCAAGGTTTGCTCAAAAGGCATTTTTGTAACAGCTAGCGTAAGACTAGAAATCGTAAGGTACCAGCACTCCTAAGTCTTTTTCAATATGGGATACTTCTAAAGGGCAGTCGCCTAAGTTATACCTGTAGTCTGCAACATGTCTCAGATGGACTGCTTTACACTTTGAAGTGTTAAACGCAAGCCCGTTATCATCTGCCCAAACATGAAGTAGAGTTAGATACTCCTGATATGCCAGCATATCCTCTTTGTTGCGTGTCTCTCTCCAAAGTTTCACGTCATCAACAAAAAGTAATACGTCTGACGATACCTGTTGTAGAAGATCGTTTGTATAAATCAAGAAAAGAAGTCCCAGTACTGGATCCTGGGGGCCCCACCAGGGTAGTCCATAACCCAGACCTTAAATGTCTGTCTTTTTAGATATGAAGTTAGCCAATCAATTAAAGATCATCCGATGCCTAATCTTTTGAGCTCATTGATAAGACCGCTCTGAAAATAGACGGAAGTTCCAAGTATTAGGTTAGCATTCTATCCTTTTCATATAGCATTGAGTATGCATCCATAGTATCTACGAGTTGCTTTAATCAGATTTGCACGACTCACCAGTGTGCTCATAAGTACTCAGAGCAATACCACATTATTGAACCATGGCAGCTGAGGAATGTGCTTAAGATTTTCTAGTGTGATAAATAAACTCGCGAGCTTCACAATGAAGAATTTTCCTCCAAACCAATATTTATGAAGTCATTTGACGGCCAGAAACACAGATAGTTCCTCTCTCTGGGTTTGCTAGTAAACTTGTTCAGCAACAGTAAGCGTGCGTGAGACACAGATCACTGACCTAGCTTCCTGTCTCTAAGCTGCACCAATGCCCCCGGGTGATCCACCGGTAATAAGTACAATATATATAATAGGATAGTAAGTTCGAAGAACAAGACCATTTTGAAGAAACTTTAGTCAACTTCGTAAGGTTGGATGTTGTCCCTCACAACATTCTAATGAATCAGATGTCAAGAGCTAAAAGAAATATTTAGCATAACAAGAAGAATTAGGAATAGGATGAGAATAGTATTGAAGAGCACCCTCTAGTGAAGATAATTCTGTTAAATTTTTCAGAGGTGGTGCAGTTTTCAGTGAAGCTAGTCGTTTCTTATACGGTTTAAAACCGTTTCCGTCATTTAGACATCACTGATATTCAAAACTAGATGCACAAAATGAACATTTATTTGGATTCACCGTAACATTCGAACCATGAAGTCAATTAAGAATATCTTCACCAACAAATGGGTGTTCAGTGTTCATCCGTAGTCACCGCAGATTCTAGGGGTCGTTCTATGATTTCAAGGGAAAAACAAAGAAGTACCCCATGCTGAGACTGGACCGGTTTAATTATGCCTTTCGCACACAAACCATTCAATGTCCTATGTTTGCTTCATGAAAACCATGAGGAATTGTTCGTCTTTTAAGAAAGTCTGGACACCCTGTACTTAGAGTTTTATAGGGTGAATTTTCATACCTCCACTGCACTCAACACACGCAGCTAACAAATATTTAAGTAAAACATCAGAATTTTCTTCCACTCACAAGACATACGTGAAGAATTATCATCTCTAATTAACAATTGACAGAGTCCTCGTATAGGAAGTTTGTGTCCAGTAATCCTCATAACTGAAAATGTGAACCACCACTAACCAGACGCAAGCTTGAGCGACATTAGTAATATAGTTCATCACGACGGCTAAACAAAACATTAGCAATTTTTACTAACTGGAAATCAGGCTTGTCCAATGCCTCGTAGTTGACACATGCTTCTGCTCCTATAATATACCTATAGGTCTCTCTAAATTTGCAATATTTATCTAGGTAACTAAGCGATCACGAAGCTGAATTTCCGAATTGTCTTGAAAATCGCATTTCACGTTTCAGTAGTTCAAGTATGATGTCTTTAACTTTCTGATCATTTTGTTGCATCACCACTAAAAAGTAATGTCTTGGGAGATTCACTTAGCAATAAAATAGGGTTTTCTGGAAAAGCCAGACTTGTTTTCAAATAGTTTAAACAGCAACGATTAAGGTAAACAGCACTGTTGGCGGTCCAATTACTATAACCTTCAGTGTTACATACAGTTTTTTTTTAAAACATCCGATGCCCCAAATAAGGATTAATAAATCGGAAAAAACATCAGTTTGGTTACAGATGTATTGAAAACTATCCCCATAGAAGTCAGACAAACGGAGCAAAGAGGAAATAAGGCGACGAAAGCGTAAACAAAGAGGAAATGTCGATTTTTCTTCACCAGACTTCGAAAGTAGCCGCACCATGTTGGCATAGAAGTTTGAAATACCCCGACGATATACTCTGCAGTACAGCATACAGTATCAAATCTCAAAAACTTAGCTCAGTTGGACACGCCAACGCGCTGCATACACGCCTAGATCCGGACTTTGATGGCGACATATCCAATTGTGTTGGATTAGTTAGATAACATCTGAAAAGTAAACACGCCTACTTGGTAATCGGCGAAATAACACTGTCGATCAATCGAAATGTAAGATATTAGACGTGGCTCTTTCCAGCCTGCATCTCGACCACATCCATGCCAACAAAATCGTAAGGAAATCTTTCTTTTTGTTTCAATGAAGCTCTAGAAAATGTTAGTAGGATTATTGTACTGACCCCTTCGAGTTTTCAGTGTTTAGTGGCAAGGTGTTTACATCAGTCAGAATGCTAGCTTGAAGCCTATCACAGAAAAACACTTTTTCCCCATGACATTGAGCTGCTTTCCTAGCAGCACCATTGCCGCTACACTGATTTCCTGATTTGTCTCACCTAAGACTCGAATGGGAATGCTGAGAAACTGTCTTAAGGTCAATGTACACGAAAATCGCCAGGAAAGCGCTGCAACAAATGCATATTATGCTAAGTTTTTTAGACCCATAACACCATTATTATTCCTTAGGAAAATTCCGTGAATCCATTCTCACGGATTCTGCAGAGCTATTTTGTAATTTTGGATGTGCTGACAAATGAATCGATAACGCTAAACGCCTGAGATTAAAATAAAAAGGTTGAGGTAAAGTTTGTTGCAGAATTATGGGTCCTAAATATTGAAAAAACTGTCGACACTCCCTAGCTTTCCATGTTGATAGGAAGTCTAATGTACGCCATTTACACAGAAAGCCGGAGGGAGTACTTGCAACGCAACTACATGTTAACTTATTTATATCTTCAACTGCACGTAACATTGTCATCCAAAAACCTTTCATTGTTGTAGCTACTAGATGCTGTTACAATTGATGGAAACTCATTACAAATAGTTTCTGTGTTGACTGCTATCAATTCAAAATGTCACTGTTAAATTCAGTTACATTTGATCGTGCTTTTATTGACAAACTGACTAAACGAAAGCAGGTTATGTTTTTTCATGAAAGCTGTTCGTATTTTATTCCATGGTCTGCTATAAGTTGATCTATGACAGCCAAGTACGCTTGACAAGTCCACAATTGCCCTACGTCTATGACCTCTCTAACTGACTTTAACTGAGTTCGTCCTACAGGATAAACAAGTTAATTCGTGATAATGAACATAAAAAACAGAGCACGGCACTAACTTGTATCATGTAAGCTATTTGTGATGGCCGCCAAGCATTTCGGTACATTTAAGTAGACGACCAACGAAGTAAGGATATAAGCATCTAAGGAAAATCCATGTGTCTGCATCCTCTTACTTGTGTTAATGATGATTGTCTTCCATTTTCATTAAACCGTACGTTATTTTATAGAGGTTCATGAAAATGTAAATACAGGAAGCGGCATTTTCAAGTGTGCTACGTACGTATATTGGGTGATTTTATCCGCAACGCAGCCATGTAAGTCTAATGTATCGCCCAGTGTAATGACGGTCATTTTTGCGTTCAAGCAGTCATAGAATTTGTCAGTTCATAATGTATTTTTTATTAAATAACTAGATTATGCTGTTAATTTTGCTCTGGTTGTGGTTTTTATTCACCACGTCCGACTGCGTTGGGATGAAATCCCAAGTCATAGTGAGTTTAATCACATAGTCGATTGTTTCCAAATAGACCGTCAGTTCATAATGTTACTGAAGAAAGGTTTGTTGTACTGTAAACTATGGTTTTATAAACAACTGACTGTTGTCTTCAGTTGGAAAGCAATATATATATCCTTTGTCTTCTGTTAGGTAAGTTCGACTGGCCTATATTTCGTGTTTTGGTTTTATCAGCTGAATTCCCGAGCTCCCAACTTTGGGGATTTTTCGGGGAAATCTATAAAGTGAAATAGCCAATATTACTGGAGGGAAAAGGGTCGGTACATAGATCAAAAGGGTTATGGAATGCCCGGAACCTAATTCGGCCTCCATCAGCTATTTGTGTGACGAACCCTGGCCGACCATTGGCGATAACTACATTGTCCGGCCTTGTGGTTGATAGCTTTGAGTTCCTGTAACTGACGATTTCCTTGGAAGTATCATGAGTTACCTCAGGCTCAGTGACATTGTCAGCCATATCTTGATTCAATACACTGTGAAAGTAAACTTCTTCGGCATATCGCTGTGCGGCTTGTTTAGCCGCAGCAAATCCGCAGTGTACTGAACGCCTAATTTTCCTCATGTATGATTCAAAAGGAAAGACAGAGAACGACTCTAAACTACCATGTTCTATAACGTCCTCTACAATGTGCTTTAAACTATGCACAGGGTTAAGCCTGTAACTAAACAAACCAGTGTAGTAAGTAGCGCTGCCTGTTTCTAATGAGTTGACTGATTCAAATCAGTCTGATTAAAAATAAGAAAAAAGCGAGACTCTAATTTAGCGACGAGCCAATCAGAAGCGTTTGAGCAATTTCAAGGTCACGGAGCCAAGTTCAACACGCGATGCTAACATACGGTCGGTTCACAGCGGATTTTAAAGAGGAGGTGCTTAATGAGAGGTTAAAACAGATGGACGGCGGAACTCTAATTTAGGGACAAGCCAATGGGAAGCGTTTGAGCGATTTCAATTATTAGCCAATCAGAAGACAGTATAAAGTAAAAATATATTACAAGAAAGTAATGAATTACAGTGGATATTCTTCTTTTACATGATTTAAAACTTGTTGAGGTTTGATAAATGCTCAGAAGTTCTGAATTCATAATGCATATTGTATAGAAACTTGTCCATAGGGTTAGGGTTTGGGGTTAAGGTTAGGGTTAGATTAGGGTTAAGGTTAGGGCTAGATTAGGGTTTAGGGTTAGGTTAAGGTTAGGGTTAGATTAGGGTTAGGTTAAGGTTAGGGTTTATGGTTACGGTTAGATGAGGGTTTAGGATTAGTTTAGGTTAAAGTTAGGGTTAGATTATGGTTAAGGTTAGGGTGCTAACATGCGATCGGTTTACATCGGATTTTAGAGGTGTTTTTTGACAGCCTCACCCCCCCTGACCCTAACCATAACCCCAAACCCTCACCTCTAACCCTAACCTCTAAAATCCGTTGTAAACTGATCGGATGTTAGCACCCTAACCCTAGGCTACAGCCCTAACCACTAGCCCTATGGACGAGTTTCTATACCATATGCATTATGAATTCAGAGCCTCTGAACCTTTATCAAACCTTAACAAGTTTTTAAATCATGTAAAGAAGAATATCCACTGTAATTCATTACTTACTTACAATATTCTCACTTTATACTAACTTTTTCTGATTGGCTAATAATTGTCAAGGTCATTTAAGATTCGTTCAAAGGTCGTCGCTAAATTAGAGTCTCGCCGAAAAAACGTGCTTTTTATGCTGTTGCTGTCATACATTATAAGATAGCAATAAGTATGTTTGGTGTTTATTTCTAGACTGTAAATCTATGACTGATCATATTTCATGATCACTGTCATTAAAGTTTCCCCATCAATAACATCGGTAGCAGGATAGCTAAGCGTCTGAGCTTTTATTTCCCCGCAAAACAGCAGTATACAGTTTTAGAAGTTGAGTGTTCTGTGTCAATTAAATGCAGCTGGTTGTGGACAAATGTTAAGAATGTTTTTGACAACTGGGACTCTTAGTTTATCAGACACTAACTCTGCTTGTATGTCTTCCTGTTAAACTAGACGCAGATGCATGGGAATACTTAAATTGAAGCAAAATAATAAAAGCATTGCGATACGGTACTAAGCCCATGTTATGCTTTGCACAAGTAATAGTAGCTGACCTGATCTAATATTCATGAACTCAAGGTAAATCACAACTGCATAAATTCTGCTAAAAAACATGCAATTTGGTTATTTATCTATTCCAACGCAACAGGAATGAGCCTTCACTGATCCTAAAAACTGTTTCGCCCTTAAAACTATGGCCCTATAGAACTGTTTACGAGAGACCCAACTAACAGCAAATTATCAAAAGGATGCTGAATGTCCATTTTAGTCACAACCACTTCCAGTATCTATTGAGTTACTTCTTTTACCCTTTCGTTTGGAAAAAAACAACAAAAGCTTGTGCTTAACATTACCAATGCAACTTTTAAACGGGAACTTGGTTTAAACCTTTGTTTGATATTCGATTCTTGATGAAAGTTCTTGAATAAATTTTCAAATCCAATGCTACTTTGTTTTATCTACTTAATCGTGGCAAGAAACTTGTGATACACGAGCTTCTCAGCACCTAGTTCATGTGTAGTAAATTTAAGTGATTTGGTACGTATCTTCGTCATTTTCCTGGGAAACCTACAGACTCGGGTCCTCTCACAACTTATTCTAGCGACCATGAGTTGTCACGGCAGCTGATGGATGGACACGCGTTACACATCCTAACCGTCCCTGCGTCTAATCTCATAGCTTCTTATTCAAATGCCATATGATAAGCTAGTAATAGTAATAATAAAATACCTACACTAATGGAACACTATTAACTCAAAGGCACTCTGTATGGTACCTTACATCGGTCTACGCACTCGCTTAGCTCTTTAGTGAGAATATTACTACAATCCTGCTAAAAATCCCATGAACCCCCCTATCTCCATCAAAACAAATAAGTCTGTATTTGCTGCATATAGGGATTTTATTTTTCAGAAGATATACCAGTTAGAATTAGAGCAAAATGGCAGTATGCAGCAGATGCACGTGGTACATGTCTTCGTCGATTAACTGAAATAGAGAATACGGATATTAGCTTAACAGGCTTATTTAGAAAGACTAGTGTCTACTTTGAACTGCGTGAGAAAGTTATGCTGGAACTACGAATAATGTAGTAATCTAGTCTCCCAGCACGTACGAAGCGCTCAAACTCAAAGACGGTTGTCCAAAAATAATTCGAATGTGAAGGTGAAAATTTACAGGTACTTTTCATCGTAAAGGTGAACATATTAGGTACCGGTTGACATTATACCGTAAAAAGACACAAATTTGTGAGTGGTGAAGTATGATCTATAAAAAAGTGAGCTTAACAGTTATTACCTTTTTACTCCCTGATCATGACCCTTCGGCTTCATTTTATGGCCAAAACAGCAAACATACACTACACACTGATAGCAGATTTCCGCCTCTTCAATGTTAAACTTGCTTTAACGCACTACGTAATGAGTACAACCCCTTTATTACTACTACATGGCATATTTTATATAACAAACCCTCTGCAATAGATTGGTAGCATCTGTGACTTCATCTATGGTTGTCGGAAGTCTGATTCCTTTCGAAAACTACTGATATTCCCTACTGCCGGGCACTCAGTATTAGTTTGACTCGTTGATGGGATACTATTGTCCATAATACTGAAGAAAATTAAAAACCGGAGATTGTTTCCTTTCATTTTGCCGATAACATCATAAAGGACAGTTAGAAACGAACATGCGGACAGTTAGTCACAGGCGGCAGCAACAATTATTTTAGCTAAAAAACGAACTTCGTCTTTGGATATCTAGAAAACAAGTCAAGACAGAGACACATCCATCGTAAAAATACCTGGGGTGGAGTTTATCTCAATTATAACAACTTCTGTCCTATGAGTTATAAAAAGGGTGTTGTACGAAACCTTTTGACCGCGCACGCAAAATCTGCTCAAAGGAGTGCCTTGAAGAGGAAATTGCTACAATCACCAATTGCCTACGTGAAAATGCATATCCGGAGAAATTCATCCACAAATATGCTAATACCAACCCTCCGATTAAGCATGTTACAGCGGAAAAGAAAACCTGTTTCCTATACTTGCGCTTCAAAGGAGATGAAGTCACCGGAATTATCAATCACGGAATAAATTCCGCTTTGAAAGTAGCCTACACGGCAGCCAAACTGACGACGTTATGGGAAACGAACTGCTCACTGAAACAAACTAAAATCGACAAGTCCTCTTTCCTCAGTAGCTCCAACTGCACTTACCAATTCACATGTACGTGCCATAGCACATACATTGGAAGAACTGAGAGAAGAGTACATATTCGCATTTTTGATCATGTTCCGAAGAACTTAAGGCTGCGAGGGACTAAGGCTTTCAACAGTGCAATAGCTCGGCATCTACTTGACACTGGGCATACCGTCGACATTCTGCATGCTTTTAAAATTATCAATAGACAAAGAAGTACGACCACTCTCCGTTTTGCTGAAGCCATTGCGATCAAAAAACTTAAATCGGACTTATGCATTCAAAGATACTTTAATAAACTTATCATTACCCTGGTAATCCTTTTTTTGTGTTTTGGCTATTTGGGTTATTTTATTCATTTATTTGTTTTAAAATATTTATACTCCTCCCCTATTACCTAATTCTTAAACCAAAATTTTATTCACATATTTCCACCACCTGGTCCTCTTAAATTATCTTAACTTTTCAAATTCTATTTAATTATTATTACGTAACCTATCTTATCTTATCATTATTCAATTCCATTAATCTCTAAAATTATCACACAATTTATGTGATTACATATCTGAAAACAATTTTCAATCACGTGTACCTGTAAAACTTCTTAAAGATTTACTATTACTATGTACTGACAAAGTTCAGTTCACTTTTGAAGGTGAATACTTTCGTCAGATTGATGGAGTTGCTATGGGTAGTCCGCTAGGACCATTACTAGCAGATGTGTTCATGGCACATGTTGAAAATCAGACTGATGAATTAATCGGAAACATGTCACTTTATAAGAGATATGTGGACGATATCTTAGTTGTTTGTGAGAAAAAAGAGGATATGTACGGTTTATTAAATAAACTCAACACTCTCCAAAACCATATTAGTCTCTCATGTGAAGAAGAGAAAAACGATCAGCTTCCCTTCCTAGATATACTCCTGAGTAGACGAGAAGATGGTTCAGTAAAGCGATCTATTTTTAGAAAACCAACGTGGACAGGTCAATATCTTAGTTATTATAGTTATTGCCCTGTGCAATATAAACGTGGTTTGATAAGGTGTCTTTTCAACAGACTCGACCGTATTTGTACCAATGACGCCATTGATGATGATGTTAAGTTGTTAAATAAAACGTTAATAGAAAATGGCTATCCTCTGAAATTCATAAATAGATGGAAAGTCCATGGTTCAGCGAGACCTACTGTAGCCTCGGTAGAGAAAAAGCCTGTCTACATCACCTTACCATTCAGAGGTGATTCAAATAGCCTTTTACTGAAACAACGACTTAAATCAGTCATCAATAAAACCTATTGCGCAGCAAAGGTCATCATCAAAGAAAGAACAAGGTGCATGCTTCATTCAAAACCTAAAGTACATGGAAACGATTGCGTCACATCCCACTGTGTTTACCAATTTAAATGTGTGTGTGGTCACACATACATAGGGAGGAGTAATCGTGATCTCAACATTAGGGTGAGTGAACATGTACCCAAATGGCTTCAGAAACAAATACAATCAAGTGAACCGATAAGAGCAGAGGATAAACATCCATCATCCTCTATTGCTAAACACATAATTGAAACAGGTCACAAGATTGATCTAAATTCAGCTTTTGTGGTATTGTATAAAAGTGTAAGAGGGCGTATACTAAGGTTTATTGAAGCCTTAGCCATACGAAAATTCAAACCCCCTTTGTGTGTTCAAAAACAGTTTGTTCTTACCTTAAACCTACCCTGGTAATATTGACTTATTATCCAGAGTGATTAGGTTTCAAATTGTGTTCACATTATTATTATTATTACTCTTATCATTATCCTTATCTCCTCTTACCCCGTTTCCTGTCTAGTTGACCTTTTATTTTTATATATAAATGCTCTTAACAAGTACATGTGTGACCAGATTTTTCGGAATGTATTGCGCTAATATATCACATAGTTCTGATAATCTTCGTCTTCTCATTGCATTATCGAAATTTATCAAAGGGACTAATTGTTTTACATTTTTGGTTGTAAGCAGCTGACGAGAAACCTCGAGATATTATGAATTCATACTATTCTGCATCAATGTTTGTTCTTGCTCTGTTCAAAACAAAACCGATTACCATTTTAAAACATAAGACTAGCCAGCTTGACTGAAGAGCGCGTATTTGCTTGCGTCTTACTGGACGTAGGAAAGATCCTGCAAGGAAACCTCTTAGGGCCCTACTTAATGATAGTCAAGCTAAGAGTATATTTCAGGAACAACTAGGAAAACAGTTAGGCAGCCATGTATGTGATGCCCACCCCGATGCAGCATGGAATGATATCCGAAAAGCTGTGGAAACAGCAGTGATATCTGCTAGTAAGGTAAACCAGAAGGTTAGGGAGCAACACTGGATCTCAGCAGCATCTATCTCACTGATAGATGCTCGGAAACACATTCCACCTGGCTCTGAACATAATGAAGAGCGGAGTCAGCTTAAGCGCAAGCTGACAAGAAGTCTACGCAATGATCGCGAACAGTGGTGGGTAGCGAAAGCAAGAGAGATGGAAAAGGCAGCGGCAATAGGTAATAGCAGACAATTGTTCAGACTCGTTAAGGAAACCGGAATTAGGAACCCGACCGTTAGCGAAACAATCTCAGAGAAAGATGGACATATTATTCATTCTCAATCCAGGAGATTGGATCGATGGGCAGAACACTTTAGGGATCAGTTCAACTGGCCTTCAGCCACACTTCGGTTTCCCACGATCTCCAGTCAACCTGAATGGCAAGTTAATGTAGGTCCTCCGTCCCTTTACGAAGTTGAAAAAGCCATAGGAAATCTGAAACGAGGGAGAGCAGCAGGCCCTGACAGGTTTACTCCTGAGATTTTTAAGGATGGTGGTCCAGTATTAGCAATGAGATTAACCGAGGTCTTAGGTAGAATTTGGGAACTGGACGTAATCCCATCTGACTGGTCTCAATCACTGATTGTGCCAGTTTTTAAGAAAGGACAAAAGTCCTCTTGTGACAATCACAGAGGAATCAGTTTGACTAATATAGTGTCTAAAATATTAGCTTCAATAATACTTCGACGCCTAACTAAAGCTCGTGAAGAGCAGACTAGAGAAAACCAGGCTGGTTTTCGACCTGGACGTGGTTGTATAGATCAGATATTCACACTACGTCAGGTTCTAGAACACAGACACACATTCAGACGCCCCACAATGGTAGTATTTCTCGACCTTAAGGCGGCATTCGACTCGATTGATCGTGAGGTTCTATGGCAGTGTTTGTCACTGAAAGGAGTACCAAAGAAGTACATTAACCTTATAAAGGCTCTCTACTCGAACACAACTGGTCGAGTGAGAGCTTATGGCGAACTGTCATCAGAATTGATCACCTCAAGTGGTGTTCGTCAGGGCTGTCCACTCTCCCCATTCTTGTTCAACTTTGTCATTGACGTACTTTTAGAGATAACACTCTCCTCATCTAAATTTACAGGGGTTGAACTTCTACCAGGAGGTTCACTTGTTGACTTAGAATATGCTGATGACATAGTTTTATTTGGTGAAGACACTGACAAAATGCAGAGTCTTCTGGCCACTCTAAGCAACAATGCAAGCATGTTCGGGATGCGATTCTCTCCCTCGAAATGCAAAATGTTGCTTCAGGATTGGGTTACATCGACACCCGAACTAGTGATAGGGAGTGAAGTAGTTGAGTGTGTCGACCGCTTCACTTATCTTGGAAGTCTCATCAGCCCTTGTGGTTTAGTGTGTGACGAAATCTCAGCACGGATACAGAAGGCTCGACTAGCTTTTGCCAACTTGCGTCATTTATGGCGTAGGCGAGATATCCGTCTATCAACCAAAGGACGTGTTTACTGCGCAGCAGTTCGTTCCGTCCTACTTTATGGCAGTGAAACATGGCCGGTAAGAGTAGAGGATATCCGTAGGTTACTAGTATTTGATCATAGGTGTCTTCGAAACATTGCTCATATATCATGGGACCATCGAGTAAGTAACACAGTTGTTAGGAAACGGGTACTAGGTAAGGATGGCAAATCAATTGATGAAGTAGTGAAACTTCATCAGTTGAGATGGCTGGGACACGTGTTACGTATGCCCAACGACCGACTGCCTCGACGTGCTATGTTCAGTGGTATAGGAGTAGGTTGGAAGAAAGCTAGGGGCGGCCAAACCAAAACATGGCACAAGTCCATGAAGTCACTGACAAGTGAACTGAGTCATGTTGGTAGGTGTAGACTACCTGGTTGGGGACCGCGAGATGACAGCAACCGATGGTTAGAGACCCTGAATGACATGGCTCAAAATCGTTTGCAATGGCGCAGGTGCATCCACTCTCTGTGTTCTCCCAAATTCTAATCTTCTGAATTCTTCATGTCCCTTTTTTTCCTCTTTCCAAATTTCTTTCACTGGATTATACTCTTTAAATAACATCTCCAAACCCTAATCTTCCCGATTACTGCTTATACTCTTATTACCTCTACCACTACGGGATTTGAATCGACAAGTGCATCTCTGTGCTAATGTGGTGTGGCAACTCGAACTGATGTACGTACGTACGAAGTTCTACGTTGTTACTGACTGACTGACTGACTGCTTGACTGAAGAAATACATTGACTTCAGTAGCAGCAGCAAAAACCCAGAAAACAAAGCAAAATCAGGAAAAATTTTGCTCCAACATTTAGAGTATTACATTAACTTCTGCATTTTAGCACACTGAAACACTAAATCCTGTAGCTACACAAAACAAATAACGGAAAAAGCACAGAACGAAGAAATCCGGCCGCCATTGCATACCAAGATGGTGGACATAATGATTGTCGCTAAGCCGACTGTCACGTTTACGAAATTGAGTCGCGTTTAATAGCAGGCCGTATATTTGTCTACAAATTCCCACCAAATACACGATGTAAGGAGGAAAAATCGACACTTCCTCTCTATTTACGCCTTTGTTCGCTTTATTCCCCTTTTATTGGTTGATTGGGTAGTACACGAATAACCGGTTGTGTTGTTTCACGCAAACAAGCAATTATGCTTAAGAATACTAAAATAACTTCATTTCAGCAGGATAATGTGATAGCAGTACATGGAAAACCTGGTCTAGTCAATTATTTAGTTACTGTTCCTATTGCTACTTACAGTTATGTGAATGTCTTTTGTTTAATTTGTGCTGAGGTATGACCATTAACCATTTCCTTACCTCTTTACAGGTAACAATACGTCATAGTAGACACCAAGAAAGAAACAGCTTATGATTGTGCTTAAATTTCAGGATTCACAAGATTTTTGTGATTCTCAATAGTCGTACAGGCGTTACGAAAAGGCATAACCAGTGGAATATTTTTCATGTTTGACTTCGTTTTCACTAAACATTAATAATACATAACCTGTCCTTTCTTTTGTAGATCTTTTCAAATTACAATATGACTTGGCAATTACAATGCATAACGATCGGTCCCCTGGCATCTGTCAACTACTTATACAATATAACGTTTTTTTTCTTTTCAATAAATTCCTTTGAACACGTACCACTTTTAACGTCGATCGCACTTGTCGTGTGGTGTGTTATATAAATAATGGCGAACACAGACGTTTGGGGTTAGACCAAATGTGTGTCAAAAGTTGAAGCAAAATTAGATAAATCGGTGTGTATTAAAGCGAAAAGTAGACAGTTCGGCCTGTATTTATGTGAGTAGACTATTTAGCATGTATTTAGGCTAAAAGTAGACAATTCAGCGACATTGAAAACAGAGCGACATGAAGGGGAGAATTCTTTATTTCGCCTTTTTTGGTCGCTTTGGCATTACGAACTAACCCAAGCTATTATGCCGAAATGCTATTTAGTCGTAGGGATAAATGAATTTCGCGCCGAAATCCAAGACTTGCTATCACTAATGCCTAAATAATAAACAATGTCATTCATCTGAATGGGAAGCAATAGTAAAGAGACTAAATAGCTAACATATTTTCCCACGACATATGGAATTTCCTGGTAAATGTTTATGTGAATTTATGCCAATCGTAATATTGTTACTAGTTAGTAAGATCACATTGTTTCCTTCTGGTCATTGTCATCCGTACTAGGAATGTGTGTTAAACTTTATTTTCAAATATCGTGTTTATCGATAACTATCTGAGTCATCTCTACGTTTACCTTCACATGTACATTCATCCTTAGTATTAACGAATTTTCATTACTTGGAACACTTCATGATTTCTACATGATTAGTTAGTGATGTACTGATTACTTCAATGCCAACAGCTGTGTGGGTTCTTAATATTTTAGTATAACTTGTCAGTCAAACATTTATTTTATGCATTCTATGCAGTTTTCCTACCGAACATTATTTATAGTGTAAAATGAATAAATCTACCAGATTAATTAACTAATAGAACCTGGATCAATAATAAACACGTTAGCTCTGGAAAGACCACTTAAAGCAAGTTAGATATAAGTAATCTTCAGAACGGCATTTGTCATTTGAAGGATGATAGCGTTTAGATGTGTATTGGTATTCCTTACCTTGGACTATTCCCCATAAGGAAAGTAGCTTTAAATCCCTATTGTTTTGCTAGCTCGGTGCTACAATTTTTTATGACATTTATTTGTAGATGTCCGTTTCGAAAGGCGAACATAGTCCGTTCTCCCCTCAATGGGTCAACCGGAAATTATATACGCTCATGTTAGTCATATATACACCCAGAGAATTGAACACAGATTCTCCATTGGTCATTGACGATTCGGGATCTGAAGTAAGCGACCCAGATGTTTTACGATTCTACTCTTATCCTTACTTTTACTATTGTTGATCTGCTTTTCAACATGTTTCGCTTTATGATTTGAAGTGGCTCAAATTTTACTCCCTATATGCTAAAATGTACAAGTTCGTTCGTTCCACTTATATGGTTGGAGTTATCCTCGGTGTACTGTCATCAGCTGTGCGTGGACCCCTAAGTATACAGTTCTTGTCGTATTAATCAAAATTATGAACATCCCGTACATTCCTGCACATTTAAAACATTTTAGCCTTATCGTTCAGATACAATATTTCTTTGCTTTATTCGTCTTTCCTCCAATTTCTGTTTAGAAGTACAATTAGTTCATCGCTCCTAATTTTCGCTTTGAATATGTCGTTTGAAGAGTTGGTTGTTGTATTTAAGTCTCGCTTGGAAGACGATTATTATTTAAATGTTTGTCTGGCAAGTCGATAGGCCGTACCCTATGGATCGTCCTAATAATAATCATTGCTAAATGTGTCCTAATAAAATTTGAGTACTACTACGCATTGCAAATTGTACATTTTAAAGCTGTTTATGATTCTTGTTTTGGTTGAAAAGTGATTTCGTAGTCAGTGGGATAAAACTACAGTTGTCTCACAGATTAATCAATTCTCACCTCCCACGTGAACGTGGGAGGCAATAGTCAATAAACTGAACATAGCTTAAGAACCGTAATTCATACAATAATAAATTATAGGTCAAAATAAAGCTTATAATAAAAGGAATATAAATAGAAATAATCTAATTATTGAATAGTTACACCATAAGAATATGTAGATAATATTAGTCAATTAATATGTCTCAGGAGTTATTCGTGATTTAATCTTCGCTCGGATATAACAGGATTCTAATCCTGTACTCACCCTGGATGGTTAGCAGATAGAAGTAGTCGAGAAGTTCGTGTATCTAGGTAGCTACATAAGTGCTGGTATTGGCATGAGTGATGAGATCAATGCAATCAGTGTCCGTAGGTACGGTATGTGCTTCGCACCTTCGAAGTGCAAAGTGCTTCTACAAGACTGGCAGGATTCTAATCCTGTACTCACCCTGGATGGTGAGAGAATAGTAGTCGAGAAGTTCGTGTATCTAGGTAGCTACATAAGTGCTGGTATTGGCATGAGTGATGAGATCAATGCACGTATAGTGAAAGCTAGAGCGGCTTATGTCGATCTAGGCCATCTTTGGTGCCGGATCTACAACGCGTCGGTGAGAACAGTTCTGCTCTTTGCTTTTGGAGCCTGGCCTCTCCGAGTTGAGGATGTTAGACGACTCTCTGTGTTTGATCATCATGTCTCCGAAGGATTGCTGACATCCAGTGGCAACACCATGTTATTAATGCAGAGGTTTGGCATCGTGTGTTCGGGCACAGAGACGATAATCCAATTGGTGTCACCATCTTGAAACATTGACTTCGGTGGCTTGGACATGTTCTACGAATGTCGTCCCAGAAAATCCATGTTGTGCATTATTTGCCGATGCTGGGACTGGTTGAAAAAAGCGGAGAGGTGGTCAGTGTATGACATGGTGTTGTGGTATAAAAGAAAGCTACAGAGGGCTGGTTTCTGTTGGTCCTTCGCGACTCCGGGGTTGGAGTTCTAGAGGTGATGCGACACAGTGGCTTGAGGTGGTATCAGACATGGCTCCGAATAGAAACCAGTGGCGATCCTTCTGTAACTTTCTTTTACTTTCTTCATGAAAAGTGGTTGTATCTTCCTTAACTGAAAGATTTCTTCTGGTTGTACCTTTCCATTCCTCCCATTATTATTATTATTATTATTATTATTATTATTATTACACTACCTTACACTAATCTGGTCGTTATTGTTCTTTTTTTTTCTTTTACGATCTTTACCTCTTTTTTCTTCTCCCGCCCCATTCTCATTATTTTGTGTGGCGCATATATATTTGATGCCCTCTTGTACCAATATTTATGTGTTTAAGTAGATAAAATAAATATATTGCGTTGCTAAACTTTAAAACGATGTTCGTGGATGGGTAAAGAGAGGGAATTTTCGATGTTTTCAACAATGTTTCTCGCAGTATATGCATTTCTTTTTTTTAGTGGGTGTGAAATTTACCTTCCTTCGATGTTGCATCCTCTTATCAACATTGAACAAACTACTATTGGTTAAATATTTGATACTATGTACATATAACACGGCACAAATGGAAAAGCTCCTAAATGCTCTCTACGGTCGATAGTAGAGAGAGTCAGCTCTTCCTCTCGAAATGCTCTCACATGGCCACGTGCATACAACCACTCCCAGGGAAGTCCTACTCACTGCCATTCCGCGGCACGGGTGCTGTTTACAAAATTGAGAGGACGAACAGTGAGTTTCCGAAGCTTTAACCGGGTTGGCAGATATTGAGGATCCACCTAGGTCAGTTGGAAAACCCTAATTCCAAACTAGTGATGCACATAAGCTTCAGGATCCTGTGGGAACAAATGGGGTATTAACTAATTGTTGGTCACCGGCTACCGTGGGTCTGCATCTCCTGATGTTGCTCCACTGTCTTGCGGATCAAACTTTTAGGTCCGATTCTCCGAGTGTGGCCCCTAAGAAAACCACTTGTTTCGGTCTGGGCACCTAGGCAGTATCACAGCCTACACAAAAATCAAGTGACCTGTGTGACGTATATGTATTCGGTGCCACTTTGTACCAATATTTGTGTTTAAATAAATAAATAAATATAATAACAGATGGGAAAAGAATATTCTTATCGGTTTCTACAATTATCACTGGTTGCAATAACAAACAGGTGCGCAACTAACATATTATTGTGCATGGGGGGGTACATTTTAGCATTTTATTTTGCGAGTTACTTGATATTCTCATAACCTACTCTGTAGTAATGCGAATGGACTATAACCTGCATAACATTCAAGTCATCGTAATATTAATAAGCCTTGTTGTGCTTAAAAATAACACAATGTTTATCTATGAAGTGTGTATAAACTGGTTAATGTCGTGGAGTGTATCACACTAGCCTCTATTTAAATCAACTTGTAATTATTCTAAGTGAATGTCGGTCATGCACACCGTACATTATTCATTATTCCGTCCATCCAGTGTTAATATAAATCATATGATCTCACATAAGTTGAGCGAAAAAGTATTTACCCTCAATCAGTTCCTCGTTGGTTCTGGAACAATTTATTTTTTACAATTTAGAGTGAAATCAATGTCAAACAAATTATGGTGGACCAACCTGATTATGTATTGCAATATTTTCTTTAAATATGACGATCGATTTGTAAGTTAACGGAGCAAAATTACATAGTCTAATTAAGTAAGAATAAAAATGTTAATTGAGCAAGTTTAAAACAGCAATGGATCTCTATCAAAACCCGTAGACAAGGTTCAGGAAAGGAACAACAAGAGGATGGCAGTTAACAACAGCCGAATAAAAACAGCGAAAGTCACAGTACAGGCTGAATAAACAAAAGCAAACCAGCAAATGAAGAAGAGCATTAAAGATGACAAACAGAAATACGCGGAAGAACTGGCAATGACAGCGGAAAACGTTGCAAGAGAAGGAAACATAGAGCAGATATATGACACAACAAAGAAACTGGCAAGGTAAACCAGAGACCGCTCAAGGAGGAAGAAGGTAAGCCAATCACTGAGATACATGAACAGATGAAAAGATGGCAGAAAACTTTGAGAAACTCATGAATAGCCAGCTCCATTAAATCCACCGGACATCGATATATGTATATATATATATATATACTACCTACTCACTTCCTTTTAGTAGTAAATCGGTGAATAGAAAAATTGTGGGGTTTATTTTCTACGAATCTTTTTTTGAACATATCTTAAGAAATTAAGAATTGTAGTTCACTGTGAGTTGTTATTATCATGTCATCTTACTTATTTGCTTACGCCTGTCGCCCCTCGTGGAGGAGCATAGACCACTCACACGACTTGATATTTTCAAAAATTGTTTTGTTACCAATAAAGTGAAGATTTCAGTTCTTAGTGCAGATCGAATGCTATCGACCAAGTCGCAATGTGGCCACTAGTCTAGGTGACTCTACATTACGTGCACTGTGTTAAGATAAAATGGTGTCTATCGTGTCTATCATGTAAATGTGTTATGAATAGTATAACAACAAATTTTCGAATGTGTAATAAACATTTAGATAATTTGTCTCGTTTCTCCATGACAGTCTTATGTTTCTACTTGTTCAGTTATTGTTTTCCTGACGTTTGTAAGTGATTGGAATATTTGTGAAGTATTAAGAGTCTCCTGAAAATTGTTGTTTATCAAAGTCGTATAAATGTTAACCAAGTTACTTTTTAAACTTAATTAATTGAATGTGTGGACTTGACCTTCAGAGAGTACTATTACCAGTGTTGTATTCACCTTCTTACTTACCTATTTACTTTCACCTGTTAACCCTCATGGAGGAGTATAGGCCGCCCACCATTATTCTCCATCCAACTCTGTTGTGGTCAATACTTTCCAGATGTTTCCAGTTGCTATCCATTCTCTTAATGTCTGCCTCCAGTTGGTGTCTCACTGTGTTCTTTGGTCTTTCTCTTTTCCGTTTCTCTTCAGGATTCCAAGTTAGAGATTGCCTCATGATGTGGTTTGGCTATTTCCACATTATATGTCTTATCCACTTGCAGCGTCTTTTCTTAATTTCCTCTTGATCTGGAAGCTGGTTTGTTCTCTCCCACTGTAGGCTGTTGCTGATGGTATCCGGCGGACGGACATTGAGTATCTTACGTAGACAACCATTTATAAATACTTGTACCTTCTTGATGATGGTTGTGGTAGTTCTGCAAGTTTCAGCTCCGTATAGTAGAGCTGTGTTGACGTTCGCATTGGATATTCTTACTTGGTTTGAGTTTGTTTTGAGTTGCATATGTTCTTCAATTGTAGGAATGCTGCCCTTGCTTTGTCAATCCTCGCCTTCATGTCTGCATTCGATCCTCCTTGTTCATCGATGAAGCTGCTCATGTAGGTGAAAGTTTTCACATCTTCCAGAGCTTCTCGATCAGGTGTGATTGGATTAGTGATCTCTGCTGTATTTGAGGATCTTGTTTTTTCCCTTGTGAATGTTGAGGCGTACTGATGCAGAGGCTGCTACTACGCTGGTTGTTTTGACCTGCATTTGTTATTGTGTATGGGATTGAAGGGCTAGGTCATCTACGAAGTCCAAACCGTCTAGTTGCATCCAAGTTGTACATTGTATTCCGTGCTTCCCTCAGATTTGGAGGTCTTCATAATCCAGTCAACCACCGGAAGAAAAAGAAAAGGGTAGAGTAGGTAGCCAAGTCTGACTCCAATCCTTACTTGAAATGCGCCTGTTAGCTGTCCTCCGTGCACCGCTTTGCAATGTAGTCCGTCGTATGAATCCCGTATGTTTTTGACGATTTTCTCAGGTACACTATGGTGTCAAAAAAGTTTTTCCTATACACGCTGTCAAATACTTTCTCAATTTCAAGGAATTTGATGTATAGTGATAAGTTCTATTCAATTGGTTGTTCAGTGATGATGCGTACTGTCGCGATTTGATCTGCACACGGCCGATCCTTATAGAATCCGGCCTGTTGATCTGGAAGCTGGGCGCCTACTGAATCTTTCATCCGGTTCAACAACACGAACATTTTCCTGGTATTGATAGTAGTGTGATGCCTCTATAGTTTCCACACTTGCTCAGATCTCCTTTCTTTGGTATCTTAATGAGATATCCTTCTCTCCAGTCTGTCGGCACTTGTTCTTCTTCCCAAATCTTCCTGAATAGAATGTGGAGCACGTTTGAAATTACTTTTATTTTTGATTTCAGTGCTTCAGATTTCATGTTATCAGATCCTGCTGCTTTCCCACTCTTGATTTGTCTGATGGTCATGCTGATTTTTTCGATCGTTGGTGGAGTGACAGCTATAGGAAGGTCTGTAGGTGTTGCTTCGATGTAGGTGGATTTAATGGAGCTGGCTATTCACGAGTTCCTCAAAGTGCTCTACTCACCCGTTTACTTTGGTATATCTGCTTAAAATATCCGCTTATATAAAGTATTGGCTTGATGAGTGACGTCGTCATCCTTGAGTTCGTTGGGGTATTAAAATGTTAAAATTGGTTGATGAATATCAGAAAAAATAAGGATTGTTTAAATAAGTGAATTCCAGGCACTTGATTAATATAAAGGTAGGTTTATATTAAGAACTGAAAGCAGTGCTGGCGTTTTTTCCTTGTAGTTCGACATTACATGATATACGCAATCCTATCTATTTATCAATTAATAACGCGATACTTAGGTTCTACGGCGAGCCTGGTATTAACAAGTCGGAAGTTAATCATGTAAATTTTCACTTTGTTTCAATCTCTGGTTTAGCATACCCATCATCCTACAATATTGATGGATATCTATCCCGAAACCTTCGGACCGGTTGAGTTTGAAATTAATACTTCTCCCTGAAACTTTGCAGTATTTATTTCGAAACAAACCATAAATAATCTCAGCATTACTAGTTTAACCAAGTTACTTAATAGTTCGTTGATATTCCCTTCTACTTTCTAGCTTTATTTTGAATAATACTTATTTTTTGTTATTTCATGTTTTATTCTGTTTACTGTGTTTTATCTATCTGATGATGTGTATAAGAACAACTATAACATATATGCTAATAATAATAAATATGAAGCTGACATATAAAGGCAGTTAATCAAATTATTTTTTCCAATTATTTACTGATCGGTTATTTCAGTTATCCTTTTTTACTGATTGGGAAAAGAAACTGTCATTTTCATTGAAATTTCATGTTAGATTCTCTTGTTTTTGTGCATATATGTTTCAAATACAGAATGTTATTTTCCTTTCTCTGATGAATTTTACGTATAAACAGGCGAAAAACTGTCTGAAATTGTTATTTTTTTTTCTGGGTTATTCTGCTGTCCTCAATGCATTTATTACTTTCATTTCGGATAATATTATGCTATTTGATGCAGAATATTTTTTTCGACCATGCTGTACCAACTAGATGAAATAATAAATATGAAGGAAATATTTTGATAGATATGTCACATTTGTGAATAATTGAATAAGTTCACAGACTCCACATCAATGAAATATCAAACTTTTATTTTGTCTCCTCTTTCAACCTTTTTTAAATCTCTGATGCATTTAAGTCCTAGCTGAAAATAACCTTTCTTCAAATTGTCAAGTAAATTACTACTCAGTTGTTATCATTCTCGTTTATGAATAATAAATGTCCCACAATGCCTTTTTTACTCTGGTTTTAACAATACATATTGAATTATATAGTATTGGTTTTGCGTTGTCATATTTGATTGGGCTATCATCATAGGTAAGCCTAGATCAGAAGTTGTTAAACTACTGTCTGCGGACCGCTTGTGACCTCCAAGATCAAGTGGAAGCATATGTAAAAGCAGCCGGATGTGAGATAATTTGATATTATTCTAGTTAAACATTGGGCTTGGTATTAAAACCGTTGGGTATGTTTCATCGTATGCATGGAATGGCGGTTTACGTTAATTCTCCCTCGTTAATTATTATTCTTTCTAGTAATTGTTTTGTGACGATTTGAAGGTTTCAAAGCATTTGGATAACAGTCTAATCTGATAAATGCTGCAGTTTTTTTGTAACTAGCGGGAGCTAATCATTATCTTCAAATGGAATTGATAAAGTTGAGAGCAAGCAGAAACTACAATTGATTCTTCAAACAATTAACATAGACTGAATTCTATTCATCTTGTAAGCAAGATAAGTTTCGCAACCTAAATAATTGTACATGTAGTGTTCGCTTTATGGACCAAATTACACTTGCAAATAGGCGTTTTGGCTTATGAACTGAGACAAGTGAACTCTTGGAAACAAGTCGACAGTCGGTGTTAGGCACGACAAAAAACAAAGTGCTTATTGACTACAACTCGTTAGTGGAAAACTGTACACTTACATACTTATCTCATTGGTTAGGTGACATCATTAAGACTGATGATTGGGTAATTAATTGTTATTTTGCTTGCTAATTGGTGAATGCCGGTTTCTTAAAAATATTTTCGCATGTTGTATATGCAACGAATTTGATATGGTATCTGCATTCGTGTAGCCGTTTGACAAGAAAGGTTTTACACCTTTTTTCTAACCACAAAATTTATGGGAGAGTATGTAATAGATATTAACTTCAGTTTAAGGAAGAAGTAAGTACTGAACTATTAAAAGTAGTCTATGTGAAACAAATTATTGGCACTTGTGATTGAATAAATAATTACTAACTAGATGGAGTTACTTCTTGGTCATAATGCATTTGAGTCATTGCAACTGATCCTGAGTCGTGTCATCCAATATCTTTAAATAATCATATGGACTTCAGTCAGATAGTCTTCCCCTACCACTATGGCTCAGAACAACAGTCAGTAACTTTATGGACTGATACTATATCTTGCTTTCGAATTTAAAGATCTTTCTCTGTATAAATTGACGAGAATCAATTCGGACCCATACTTATTTAATTACATAAGTATGTAGTAACACCACCGAAATTTCTCTACAGTTTGTTGATTAATGCTTAGTAGTTTGAAACGAAACAATAAGATAGGAGCTTGATAAAGTTTTTCAAAAAAGTAAACAACGAATTATTTTCATTTTAAAAATTGTCCTTCTAGATTAAAGTACAGGAACCGATCACAGATTGCAATAAATCATGGTTACTTTTGGGTTTAAAACAGAGTGGTTTCGGAAAAGGACGATGGAACGGATTTGGTGGTAAAGTCGAATTTAGTGATGCGAACCCAAAAGCTGCTGCACTTCGAGAACTGAATGAAGAGTCTGGTTTAACACTTGATGAGTCTTCCGTTGACGAAGTTGGTCGTCTATGGTTTACTTTCGCTGAGACATTGGAGGTATGTATGTTATTTTGAAATGTTCTCGTAAATTATATGATTGATTCGTTTATTGATTGAATTAAGCATCATGCATTTGCATTTTTTGATCGAGTTAAGGAGGAAATAGTAACTTCACTGTTGATGATATTGGATGAGGATTGAATTACGTTAAAATCGACTAGCGTGCGAAACGTAAACTACTAAACTCCAGATCAATTGTTTAAAGTCACCGTATTAGCTGTAAAACTTGAAGGTTCTTCGTCCAATGTCATATAGGCTTCTGGAGACGTATTACTGAGTAGTCTTACATAACGATGGGAAAATTAACGTCAGTTTGATAAGCATTAACTAGTTCATTATTTCTGATGGCTAAACAACGGTTGACACCATCGCTTTATTGTTTAGACAGAAATATACTTACTAAATTAATAAACATGAGCAAGAATATCAAGGTATTTAATTAAATCACATTTATTACTGAGGATAATATTCGCAGATAGCTTTTGCTCATATCTTATCGATAGTATATACATTGTTATCTGCTAAATTTGAATCGGTGTATCATACTATATGGGTTTACGATAAAAATATCCTCAAATCAACGTAATATAATTCTTGCACGGTTTGGTAGAAATAAAAGATAACGATTATACAGTAATCACGAATGAGGACTATTCATGATAGGAGATTACTTATATCACCATAAATTACAAACAACACAGTATTTGTGAAATGTCAATTAGTGGCAAAAACAAAGTGTAAAAATCTATCCATCTGGCGTTGTATTTTATGCGTAAAGGACCATTACATTTTTGATTTTATTAATAGTTTATCAAACCTTGGACTTTAACATTCTTAAACATTGAAAGAACAGTACAACAGATCTAACATAATACCTTCGAAAACTTGAATATCACACATATATTCGTAATATCGGATTTCGTCCACATTAATAAAACAGCTTAATAAAACAGCAAAACAACCAATGACATTTAAGATCCTTTCGAGTGAGAAATATAAACTGAGGATGAATGTGGTCATTTGGGAATTTTGGCATGAAAATGAGAAGTTCGAATTTCTATGTTGAAGATGCGAAAGTGATACGTTTACGAAGTGATTTCTACGGATCTAGCATCCACATCAAACAAAGAAAACTCTACGGATAAATTATCCACCCTATAGAGAGCGATTTCACGTATGTGGAATGCGAATAGTGCTTGATTTCAACTGAGGCTTACAAATTGTAAGTTGAAATAATGGATTGATAATGAAATAATTTCTTATTTGAACACCAAACAGTACCTATTAGTATTTCTCTACTGTCCGTCGGTCAATTGAAGTTGGATCTTTAATACTATCATTCACATATTAGATTTGGTCTACCGTTTTTTATCCACTTCATCAAACATCCCATTATTTTATTTCTCAAATTGACATTGTAAGCGGAACTAATTCGAGATTTTTATTTGCAGTTAAATCTTCATAAATTAATTCTATTTGTTCATATCTAGTGGTCCTTTAGAATGACTTTCTTGAATTACTTCTCCTTTTATACAAGACTTGTTATTTGGATATGAATTAATATTTCAGGTACTGTACATTGTCCTATTCACCATCAAACCGCGCACCCATTTCTTCCTACAACAATATACAACTGAGCACGATAACCTCCACTTATGTAGCTGGATATTTTTCAAGCTTTTTTGATTTATAGGATCTAGGTTTTTCGTTACGTTATCATATGAACTCTCTGTTCGAATACCTTAATATTATGTTTGATCATGTTTAATAATCCTGGTAGTAGATAGAGATGGGTGTTTTGCATTGTTCTACTGCTTTCTTTTTTCTCTAATGGTTCGATAAATTTATCTACTCGATTTGCCATGAAATATAGACTTAATTATGTCATAACATATTTGTGTTCATTATGAGCATTTAAAAACTATTCATATTGATCAGTAGGATTGCATAATCCCATAGAATTGATTTCCGAATTTCATATTGGTGTTTTACTTGTTCATGAGCGAGCCATCCATTCGAAGTTATCCAATTTAGAAAACGGGATTTTCACAATAACTGATCATATCCATTTACTTCTACTGATGAAGTAATCACTTTATTCACTTTAAATAATAAACAAGTATGTTATATCTTGAAAGTTGATTTCTTGATATACCGCGTATAACCGAGCACTAGAACACCAAAACCCTTCCAAGTCGCAATAAGAAGGCTAATGAGAGGAATATTATTCCAAACAGTATCAATCATAGTACAAAACTGTCAGGTATTTATAGTTTTTAGTGAGAACGAAATCATCATAACAGTCCTCCAATCCGCATACAGGGGTTTATTAGCATTATCCAATCGGGAAGCTACACGTTGGAATTCTAGAATATTCTTCCGAAAGGTCTTCGGCTCCTTCTGAGCCTCTTACAGCTTCTTCGAGTTCACCGGTGGTCCGTCGTCACAAAGTATTTGTTGTACCTATTGATCATACTGGTTACATTTATTTATTTGTTTATTATTATCATACGATGCTTCACCTTATAAACTGGTGAGTCATATGATTATTTTTTACCGTATATAAATATATATTCCAATTCAATCAATAATTGGAAAGAATCCGTGTTTTCCACCGGGTTTTTTTTTTCATTGATCATCGTCATCCACATTTGGTGTATGTCATTTACTTATATTTGCATTATTATTTTTACTATCTCATTTTCCTTCTTTTTTTCTTCCCTATTAATACATTATAATTATGATTTATTGTCTGTTTTAATTATATAAATTTTAATTAGTTGTGTTATATTGTAGTCTAAAATGATTGATTCTGTGTATTAATTATGATTTTAGTAAGTGTACTGTTTAATATGTTTAATATTGAAATACAGTAGTCTGAAATTAACTATCTGTGTGAAGTTGTTTTTTGTATGAAAAGTGGAATTTTATAGTCAATATATTTATAACTAAATAGATGTAGCTTTTTAGTAATATATGTAAATTATAGCCATTTAGTGAAAAGATCGAATAACAACCCTCCTTCTTTTATAGTTAGGCAACCGAATAGTAACATTACACCTAACAGAAAATGAAATGTGATTTCAATCGAAATTTTGTGCCAAAGTATAGGATGAACATATTTTATGAAGTAATATCGAAATTTATTTAGCCTTAATTTTAACTTATGTCAATGCAAAACAATTGATGGTCAGTCTCTAAACCACTAGGGTTTTATTTAAGTGAAGCTCATTTTTTCTCGGTGGTTTTTCTCATATATTTGACATCAGATATTATAGTTCATCATAATTTCAAATCCCTTAGCTTGTTGAGATTATTATGTGAACATTTATCAATTTATATAACTAGACCAGTACTAATGAACTGATTTGTATGTTGATTGGTAAAGAGATACTTTCAACTTTCTTTTTTTCAAAAACAACTTTATTTTTATATTTCCACAAATGATTACTTCGCATAAATTTTTCTTTGATTAATTTTTGTACAAAAGAAATGAAACTGTTAAATATATATCATTCAGAGATGTAACACAATCTGCTCCAGGTATAATATAGAAATATCTTCACAATAGTATTAGTAAATAGACACAACTAAATAGAATGAATAACAATGTTTGTGTATTCAGTTGTGATGCATTTCCCGGTAGAAGAGTTAGCAATCTGCTTAATCATGAGTATTAAGTTGTGTACGATAATCCTTAAGTTACAAAACCTTTATGATTTTTCATAGTTTCAGTGTTTAAAGACACCACTGATAACACAATTAATTTGTATGAATTAAATTACATCCGTATATAATGTATGTTCTTTTTATAATACAATCAACTAAATATGGGTGGATTAAGTATTTCCATAGTTGCATAGTGACTGCCAAAATTACGGCAAAGTTTTCACTGTTCAATAAGTGTAGTGCATTTAGCACTATAGTCTATTTTATCATCTATTTATTGATTCAGTGCTACTTATCTCAGTGTAGTTTTCACTAGAAATTTCATTTTAAGCTCTTATTTTTACAATTTTTGTGTTTTTCTTCCGTCACGTTGAACTGTACTATGCCGGACAAATCTTTAAGATAGTTGTGTATAACTACAGAAGCTGTGAAATCTAACTTCAAAATACACCATTCACTAACTAACTGAACAGAAAAATGGCCCAAAGTGCTATATACAACATATTTATTTGAAATTGAAAACGTTCTGGAGAACCTCAATCAAATTCTACTTTATGTGAATTCCATTTTTAAAAAAAACACATTTTCATAATGATTGCAATTAATTTCTTAAGGTTTCAATGAATTTCGCATACATCACATGTTTCTCTACAATTTAGTACATCTACATTACATTAATTGTTAAGATGATTCACAGAGTTAAATCATTATCTCCGCTCCAACCTTGGAAACTAGAACTAAATAAGATTTGAAGAGATGACTAAGTGATCCATATTCACTGTTCTATTAGTTTATTGAAAAAAGTTTAGTTGTGTAGAAAAAAAAGGAATAATTAGATTGTTGCCAGACGAACTTACTTTTCTCTGATAAATGGGATTATCAGATAATCTTTAGAGGGGTATGGTTTCGTTTATTGCGTATGTATGTGTTGTTCAGTTTGTGTTTTCTTACATTTTGTGATTAGTGGAAGAAAATGTATATATATATATATATATATATATATATATATATTCATCTAACATTTTGAAGTTACTTTGACTAGACTTTGTTATAAAGTAATGAGAGTTCGTATTGTGTTCATATTTATGGGAAGGTTTGTGTGAAAGGGATAACAGTTGTACACAAACTAGGTCATTTATTCACTTTCAATACAATTATTGCGTAGATTAAGACTGAATCAAATGACAAAAACTTCACATTTGTCTGGTGAATTTTTACAAATAATCTTGTCTTCATTTTATAGGTATCTGTTTGGTAATCAAGAAAGTCATCACTTAATCGAGTATATAGAAGAAAATTTCAAAGTTCAGGAGTGGGTTTAGAGTGATGAACTGATGTTCCAAATATTATGATTTTTACTTTGGGGGACCTATATCTACTTTCCAATCATCTGTCCAAAGAGTAGTCCTTGAGTTGCAGATATTTTTTAATTATAGAACATTTTTTCCCAGCTCATAGTATACCGAAAATCTACCAGTTTGATTAAAAAAGATACTACTTACTGCTTCTGTTTTGACATTCCTTACTTTCTCATAATTCATCTTCTGATTTTGAGCCTTTTCTATCATAAAATTTTATGTCCGAAATCACATTTAGTAATCTTGCTAACCATTCTGACATCTTGTAAATGTTGAATTATCATATCAGTAAAATTAGTAGTAAGGGTATGTAAATTTATCATTCTTGTTTCTAATTTACACAATAATCCTGAAATCTGTCTGAGATCTGATTGATTTGTCAGTGTAGTATAATTTCACTGCGATTTCCAAGAAGACAAAACACTTGTCCAATGAGTTAGGGCTCTTTAATGGTTGTCCGGATTATGTTAATCCATGATTAAAATTGTTTTGTATTTAGATAATAAATTATCAGGATAAAATTAATGGATTTTCTGCAAATCTTGTTCTACGCAATGTGATAGAATATTTAAGTGATCGTGCTTATTGAATGACCACTAAATCTGTCCTTAAACGATAATGATATGGCCTTGAGATCTCAGTGCCACTTTTTATTCAATAAATAGTTAGTATCGCAGTTTTACTGAGGTCATAGATCTATGTTTTTCCATATAAAATGGTCCCATCAGTGTTCATAACTAGTAATCCTGAATGAAGTATTTTCTTGATGCTTATGACGCACAACTAAATTGGAATGATAACTATATATTTTCTTTTTTCTTATGCAGTGAAAAACTACTACGTATTTGCGAACCTACTCATCCCTTATGCCCACTATTATATTTATTTAAGTAATACATTTCTTGAAAAATAAAATAACCACTTAATCGTATTATTTATTTGTTTGTAGTACATATAGGTTTTGAACCTCTATGTGGAGACCAACACTGGAGTGGGATTACATTCAACTATGTCTAGTTTTAAATAGGATCAAATGCCCATTTATGATGTTATGAATATATAAGTATTTATATAAATCCTTTTTTTCAAATAGTATATCTTTGTGTCTGCACAGTGTGTCCACATATAATTTCCCCTTCCAGTCGATCGGCATTTATATATTATTCTACTAGTTCTAAAGTAAATTGAAATCCTGAATTGAGGTTAAAATATTATAAGATAGATAGATATATGTATTTGTTTGCACAATGGCCTTAACGATATTCTGCTTTATTGTTTTAATCTCCCCTAACATACACTGCATTAATATGTGTAATAGTTGAAGACATTGTTATTGTTGTCATGATCTTTGTTTATTTTCAAAATACATTTATCGAAATAATTATCATCATAGTTTCAAAAGAATTAGTGTGCACATAAACTTACTGTTCAATGCATTTATTTGTTTTTTTGGTGGTGAAGCGCTTTCATTTTATATGGTGAAAAAATTTCAGGTATTTGACAAAAATATATTTGGTTACATTTACTAAAGTGCTGGGAATGTTAATAGATACTGTTTGGTGTTCAAATAAGAAATTATTTCATTATCAATCCATTATTTCAACTTACAATTTGTAAGCCTCAGTTGAAATCAAGCACTATTCGCATTCCACATACGTGAAATCGCTCTCCATAGGGTGGATAATTTATCCATAGAGTTTTCTTTGTTTGATGTGGATGCTAGATCCGTAGAAATCACTTCGTAAACGTATCACTTTCGCATCTTCAACATAGAAATTCGAACTTCTCATTTTCATGCCAAAATTCCCAAATGACCACATTCATCCTCAGTTTATATTTCTCACTCGAAAGGATCTTAAATGTCATTGGTTGTTTTGCTGTTTTATTAAGCTGTTTTATGAAGTTTATCAATAACATTTTTGTACTGTATATGTATGTATGAGTTGAATGCTTGTTCGTTCATACTTCTGACTGCTTTTGTAATATTTCCCTCGACTGAATATGATCTTTTCCCTCTAGTTGTCAGAGCTGAAGCTCAATGGAATGGCTCGGCTTGTCCAGTTGTTGTTTTACTGACTTTCGTTTTGTCCGCCGGTTATAGATGATATCGTAATTTCGTCAAACGTAGCATTAATTACAAACTAGCGTGTTATATATATACGCTCAATTATGAATGTTAGTAAAAGTCGAAAGAAATCATAGATCACAACTGAATGAAAATGAAATATCACCTAGCTTCTGAATCAAAGATTTTCTAAAACTTAATTATCACTTTATAAATGAATCATACTTCTCTTAAGGTATATATTAGATGTCAGTAATCAGTCATTCTCGTCCACTGTTTTTGCATGGGAACTCAACCACCTGAATTAATGAATTTCTAACTAATGTCCATTTCTTCGTATGACAGCTGAATGCAACACACAACAATAAAATTAATATAGAATAACTGACAGATGTTTTTTGTAGTGTAGTCTCTGAAATATTCGGCCAATAATCTAGTGATTTTACAGTGATAACTTTATTGTTATCTCAGTCTTTCTATTTTTATTTATAAAGATAAAATAAGTCATAAAGACGGATATACATCTCTTAAAAGAACATTCAAGTCAAATCTAAACCTAGTTATAATTCAAAGAAAATTTCCTTCTATCTATTCGTATATCTACAGTTGTATTGGATATTTTTAAAATGTAATCTGTTTACTAAGTACAGATTAATATACTGAAGTTTAAGGCTGATTTCGTTTTATATGAAAGTTAGTGACTGCTTAAGCTGGCACAAAAGGATGAACCTTGAACATCTTCATGCTAAATGTTAAGTAATCTAACCGATAAATCCCTCACTGTAGATATGTCACATATACTTGTATAGATTAGTTAGTAATTATCTGGTTAAATCGAAGTAAAAATTTTAATAACGAGATCATTAACCGCAAAATGTTTGACTACGGTATTAAAAATAAACAATATTTCGAATGTGTTTTGAAGTCATATTGTATATGCTCCTGACCACTTATTACTAGACATTCATACTGTAATCAAAAGATTTGTGGAGATTGTTGAATTTCATATTTTTTTCAAAACTGATTTATCTTAGTTAAACAACTATTCTAGTGCTTCCTGGATTATTACGATCATTCTGTATCTAAGATCAATCAGTGATAGGAATTCGAAATCCAAATTAATGAATGTTCTGCTTTTTTTTTGATGAACATTTTTCACAAATTTATTAATAAATGAATTTTTTTGATTTTATTTATAACTTGATCTTATTAATTTGTAGAACACCAATAACTTGAACTTCATATTACTATGTGTATATCGTTAGTGGTTGTTGCAATTCATGTTAGATAATTTAAAATATGGAAAGTTGAATAGTGATTGAAAATTATCTAGTAGTGGTTGATTTCATCCGACTGAATTTCGACCAGTGGCTTGTTATATTCTCCGACGACTGTAGTGATACTTAATACACTAATGATTATTTATTGATCAGAACTCTGTCGAATTCTCCATACAACTTGAGATTTGACGGTTCATCAAAGGTAGAATCTATTGGATAAATATCTTGAAATAAAAAAGTGTAAATTAGTCACTTTATTGTGACAATATTAGTGAAATAAATAGGTGGTTGTTCTTTTCTACTATTCAATGCCATTGTGATGAGCTAGTACAGACTAGTTGTCTTCATGGTGTTCCCTTTTCTACATTTGGTAGTAGTTTCCAATTTTTCGGTTACTCCCAACTAGATTTTTCTAGAGTTTCAATCGTAGTAGTCCCATGGGTGGGTAGTTTGGTTTTTAGGTTAGTTTATTTATATGTTTTTTTTAGATTGTCTCACACTCACTAATTTCACTTTCAGTAGAGCTAGCTGTGAGGGACTGATCGTAAAGGATGTACATTGCTTATTATACCATTTGCTGTAGAAGTTCATTCTGTAACATTTATATTATTGGAACGATTGTATGAATCAAGTCTTCAATCCTCTTGAGTTCAAAATTCGAACACATTACTGACAAATATTAACCTGATAGGTACTCTATTTACAGATAAATCAAACGAATGCACGTATTAAAAAAACATTAGTTAGCACTAGTAACTTATTAATTTTTCTTGTTCCACACACATTAAGTGTACTTTACTTCGATATGAAATAAGTTGTCATCTAAAATAGTATTAAGTTTTTAGGAAATATATACCTAGAAATAAGCAATCGCTTATTAATTTGTTGTTAGTTCATGGTTTGTCAACAATCATTCATGAATCAGAATACTGTTGTTGTACTTTACTACATGAATTATAAGTTTATTGAATTAATTATTAATTCACGATCTTTGTTTCTAAAAGCTTTTTATATCATAAAACAGTTTAATACTATTCCTAATGATGAATAAATTGGTAGTCTTACTGTTGTTTTTTTTTGTAATAGAAGTTTTCAATGTTTATTCATTAGAATTAGTCTAACTTGCATTCTATTTGATCATAGTATTCAATCTGAACTATTTACTGTCTGTTTGTGTTTTAAATATGTCATCTTTGAGTTGATTGTTATCATAACGAATGAATACCATCCTTGATATTTTACAATGCTACACAGAATAAAATGATTTTAAGAAGTCTACTCACGAGATATCAAATGATTTCTTTTATGAATTTATTTATAGTTTAACAATTTTTTAAATAAATTGTTTTCTAGTGTATGGAAGTACATGTGTTTATCTGCCGAACATGGACACCTACACTTAATGGTCATACGGTTAAATGGCCTTGTTATACAGAAGAAATGCATCCAGCTTGGTTTCCACTTATAATGAATAAAGATAATACAATAAATACATCATCTTTACCATGGGAACATATGTGGCCTGATGATTTGTTATGGGTTCCTGATATACTTCAAGGAAATCTTATTCTAGCTTGGTTTCATTATCTTCGACTTTCTAATCTGTCGATTACGAATAGTCAAAATTTAGTTGATCGGTCAAGTGAAACTAATGGGATCTCTATTGACTTATATGAAATACCAGCTTATCATTTGGAATCATTTACTACTGATGAAAATGAGTTATTGTCTGCTGAGAAAGATGTAAGTTATGTGTTGAATCATGTAGTGTGTGGTCACCTACCTTTGTATTTTATTATGACTAAAAGTATTATTCGGAAGCTATGTTATTAAGGATTTTTTAAAGATAACTTTCTGATTCAGCGACTCGAATTCTGACAATGAAATTAACAGCTCAAACTCCGTTTTATCTATTTTTGTTCAAACAGTCGAATAGTAGTATCACCAGCTCACCTATCACTATAAAACAAGATTGTTCACCTTATTTTATTTTTGTCTTATCTAAATACCGTTAGCTAGAAATATATTCAATTTTTCAAGGGAAAGGTACTGGATTCGAGTCTCAGTGTGAATATCAACACGGATGCAAGTACACCCCACTGACGAGATCTAAATAGGAGAAAAAGTCCTGGATTTCACTATTAGCCACTGTCTAATTTCACCTAATTAAAACATTCTTATTTTCAGTATGAGGTTGTGGAGATTACAACGTTTTTGATTGAGATCATGGACCGATTGATGTTAGACCACCATTGAAAACATGGAAACAAAATTTCTATAAACTAATGTAAACTGATTATTATCAATCTGGAAATAAGAGAATAAAAAAATATTCTGTACTATTATTACTAATTCAAATTAAGGAAAGATATTTTCATCATTTACCTTCCTCTCATTAAGTTTTATTTCCACAAACCAATTATGTTTGTTTAAGTATTTATTCAATGTAATTAGTGTTTATTAGACAATCCTTATAGGATTTTACTTGTAACTTCTCTGGTTATTATTATCACTATTATTATTATTATTATTATTATTAGCATTATTATATAAATGTCAGTAATTGATGAGACTACTAATTAACGCTAAAATAAAGTGATTTTTTCAATTTTGACAAAAATATAAAATTTGATCTATTCCCTCTGAATCATGTATAATTATGTGTATACGGTTGTAGAGTTTGTTGAGTTGTAATTGAGATCATGAACTGATCAATGTTAAACCACCATTGAGAGGTTGATTCGCACTGCTGAGGAGTTCCATATAATTATGTACCATTCCGAGGGGATTTCATATGTTCCGTGAATAATTACGTGTATATCAATTCTTTGTATTTGTCTCAACCATAATTCATAGTCAGGATAAGTTTCGTTTGTTTTGTCACAGTGCTATTTATCATGAATATTACATTTTTTACTTGAATTTATTAGCTTCGCTCACTTGACTAGATTTAAGTTGAATGATGTTTTCTGTTAAAGGTCGAAGTCAATTTACGTATGGAACAAAAATGGAAATCACATTCTGATTAGTCATTTGACTTTTTTGTTAAAGTGAATCAAAACAACTTTAGGAATTTTGTTTCAACCATTGAGTTATCAATTGTAATTTGCATAATTGGTATCTTCTAATTTTATTCGTTCTGAGTAGTCGGTAGTCATTCCTTTCTATCTTTGTAATGAGTAACATTATAGATTTTCATATGAATATTGCTAGATCCATATTCGTAATTTTTAAAAGACTCTGTTAATGAAGAGATAATTGTCACATAGATTGCAGGTTCTATGAGTCTGACCATAGCAATTTCTATCATTGAATAACACTACTCTATTGAAATAATCAATATGTCTTCGTGAATGTATATCTTTACACATAAATGATCATTTGTTACAACTGTAATCCAGCATAATTGTGATTATGTTCTTTTATTTTAAAAATCATGAAGTCATTTGTCATTCAATAAACACTGACTAATTATATTAAACTTTTAATTGATAAAATGTAATTGTCTGTCTAAACTTGTTTTGTCTCACAAACATTGATTTATATGTGAATGATTGTAGATTTTGTTATTAGAATTTTTAGTGTAATTAGTTAGAGAATTATTGAAAATTCAAAAGTACTGAACAGTTCACTTGATATTGTTTTACTTGAATCTTCCCATTGATGTTTTAGGACCGAAATTGATCAGTCTCTTATTGGCATATGTGCATACTGTGCGTATGCCTCGATATTGCCTTAATTTACAAGCATTATAAGCAAAGATGGATAGTGGCTAGCAGTGGAATCCAGGACGCGCGTTCCGTCCAGTATGCACATATGCCAATAAGAGACTGATCAATTTCAGTCCTAAAACATCAATAGGAAGATTCAAGTAAAACAATATCAAGTGAATTAAACTTCAAACCATTGCACAAGCAAGTGGCTATCGGGACTCAGTAGCTAAGTGGATAACGCGATGGCGTTTGAAGCGAACGGTACTGAGTTCGAGTCCCAGAGTGAACGTCAACTCTGAGATGCAGGTACATCCAGCTGACGAGTCCCAAACAGGACGAAACGCGCGTCCTGGATTCCACTGCTAGCCACTATCCATCTTGGCTTATAATACTGAACAATTGTTTCTTCATAGTATGAAACTCAACAATGTAGTTAATATAACTGACTGTATGAAATTACCCTATTAGATAATAGAAAATCTATAAATTTAATCAAAATTTATTTTGATAATTTTTCGATAATGCAATGAGAAGACGAAGTTTACCAGAATTATGCGATATATTCGTGCAATACATTTCGAACAATTTTGATCACACATATAGTTGTTAAGATCATTTATATCTAAAAATTAGGAGGTCAAATAGACAGGTTTAAGGTAAGTCATAACAAAGGAAAAATAATAAAGTACACAAAAACAAATGTGATTACCACTCTGGATAATAAGTCAGTATTACCAGAGTAGGTTAAGTGTAAGGACAAATTGTTTTTGAACACATAAAAAGGGTTTCAATTTCCGTATAGCCAAGGCTTCAATAAACCTTAGTATACGTCCTTGAAAGTTTTTGTATAACACTACAAATGCTGATTTGGTGTCAACCTTATGACCCGTCTCAATCAAATGTTTCGCAATGGAGGATGATGTCTGTATATCATGTGATCTTATTTGGCCATTGGAATTCATCTGATTCTGCAACCATTTTGGCATATGTTCACTCACCCTTAGTTGCAAATCACAATTGCTCCTCCCTATGTACGTGTTTCCACACATACATGTAAATTGATAGACGCAATGGGATGTGACACAATCGCCTTCGTGCTGTTTGGGCTTTTGGTGAAACACAGACCTTGTCTTTTCGATAATGGCAAGTTGGGCTGCATAAAAATGTCCGCTTTATAGCTAATTTAAGTCTCCGTTTCAACATGAAACTAACTGTGTCACCTCTAAATGGTAACGTAATATAAACTCGCTTTTTGGGTGCGAAAAACGTCATAGGTCTAGTCGTATTACAACCCTTCCAGCGGCTTATGAACTTCAAGGAATAACCATTTTCATAATCAGTACATTTCTTTAACTAAAAAGTATTGATGTGTTTATATAATATATGTACACATTTATGTAATGATACTAGTTCATATGAAAGTATTTCATTCAAATGCACTATTATCTTTCTATGTTAAATGATCAATTATCGCCACTTTTTTTTATCTTTGAGATACAAATAATCAATAAGTTGAATTTACTTACTTACTTCTATTATCCCTCATGTAGGAGTGAGTATATGTCAACCACCGAAATTCCCCATCCAACTCTTTCCTTAGCAATTCTTTCCAGTTATTATTCATTCTTTTTTATATTTGCTCAAAATTAAATCCACCTAAAAATTTGACATTTTTCTTGGATCTTTATTAAAAATTGGCAACAAAAAACCTGTACATTGACAACTTTTGAAAAATAAAAATGTAATTCAGATATACAACATCTCTAAACATTAGATACAGTAATATATTAACATGCACAAAAATAAGCAAAGAATTGTTTTATCATTTTAAATCAAATTCATTTTTTATGTTTATAGATTTGAATGTGTTTCGTCTATTTCTTTGTTTCACTGGTTTATTTTTCTACTTTTTTCATGTTGTTATATTGAAAGTTTTTTCTTTTTTTTTTGATTTTCCTATGAAGTCTTTTCTGTTTGTTTGTTTGTTTTTTCTTCAGAACGATTGTAAATTATCCAGTGTTCAACGAATTATTGATCGATTGGATTTAGACAAGAATGATAATAATTTAAGATTATGGATGAGTTCATCATTATATGATAATGAATTTGTTGTATCTCCTTTGATACTTCAGAAAATTTTACATTATCCCATCTAATAAAAACAATTTGATATTTTAAATTAGAATAAATTTTGAAAAAAAAATATTATTTTGATAAATTTATTTTGTCATTCTTCTTTTTTTTGCCTGACTTCATTGAAATACATAGCTGTAGTAGTCATAGTAATAGTATAGTGCTGTTTGCAATGTTTGTGGTAGTAATAGTAGTATTAGTGAGAAAAAAATGGATTGTTAAATTCATTAATTGTGAAAAACAATATTGCCATTGATTGATTAATTTTACCCTTCTGTGTGTGTGTGTGTGTGTGAAATCAGACATATTTCTTGTCAAATTTCCATTGTAAATTTATCAATCAGTTTTTCTGATTATCAAACCTACAGTGATGTATATTTATGGTCGAATTGATTTTAAATCCATTTAGTAAAATAAACTTGTGTTGTATAGAGCTCTTAAGGCTATCATCCTTAGTGAAGCATAGGCTCCTGACCAAAGTATCAATAAAACTGCATCAAATTTTATTAGTACATGTTTTACTTTCAACTCGATTGTGCTTAGACATAACATTACTAATTGATATCATCTACCACTATTCGACACGTCTTCCAATCAATTGATTATACACGTATGATATGAAAATAATTGACATTTAATCAACCATAAACCTGATGGAGTCTTACACAAACGCAGATTGGTTCAAGTTACTACGCTATATCTGTTCCATAAATCGATTACCGAAAGAGTTGAAATTTATTTCTAAAGAAAGAAATTAAGTAGGAAAATGAAGTGGTATTAAACTAAAGTGCTTAATGAAAGATTAGAAATGGCGATATCGTCAATACTGAGGTCAAATTCATATAACCTATCACCTTAAACTGTAGACTACCAGTACTAACAGAAACGTTTAGCGTTAAAGAACTAGGTACATGAAGAAACACTTGTTGATGCACTAGAGATTTTTTCAGTATAGCTTAGTAGAAAAAAATATTGATCTGTCAACTATCTAACCTGAACTTGATTGATAACGTTAGTGTCCAACTTATCACTTGGTGTTATTCATAATACCTAACTCAGATTGATTTATATTTTGTATTGCAAAAACGTCCGTATTGAGTAATTCAAGTTTCAGATACACAGTCTCAACACTTATGAATGAACAGTAAACTAACCTGTCTTTATATGTTTTGAAGGGTTGGGATGTCATTTTAGAAATAATTATATGAAAGTATGGTCATTTGTTTCATCCATACAAATTCATTATTTTCCCTTTATGAACAAAAGACCGTCTTCAGTGCATTAAAATAATTTTATTGTAGCGCGAATCTCCAGAAATGACTGGTGTACGTTCTTGACCATACAAACTAATACAAAATCACTTACTAGAAAACGACAGTAATTTTAAAGGAAAGCTGAATATTAGGTAGTACTGGAATCGGGTACACGCGTTTCGTTTTGTCTGAGATTCACCTGCTGGATTTATCTGCATCGCAGCGTTAATATTCACACTTAAAAAATTCCTCGTGACTGACGACAATATCTAGAAAACTCTCACGATATACATACCAAAAGTGACTGATCACTTACAATCCTGAACACTAATAACAGAAAGAATTAAATTCTTATAAGTAGATTTTAATGACTGCGATCGTTTGAAATCAGTTCAATCACACATAAAGCACGTATGTATGGGTAGATATACCTTAATTTTAAGAAAATCATTGTAAACTGTTGAAAGTTTTAACAGTAGGATGAAATGACTTTCTATCAATTCTAGCTTTTCTTTGAATTCATTGATTTATCATAAGTCAACAAAAAATAGTTAGTTTCTTATATTCCTTCTCTCTATAAAAATGTTTTGTCAACTTTTACGGATGTATCCTTTTTTTCATATAAAGTTAATACGTATCTTTGCACTTAACTCAGCATGTATTTTATTATCAAGCAAAAAACAACTTATTTTCTAATCATCTGTTCAACATGTTTATTATTATAACTAAATGAAATACCCAACTGAGTCAATATGAACAATGCGATATGATAAGATTTTAAATTACTCTAATATATATATATTCTGATAATCTACAAGTGTTAACAGTTGTAACTTGTAACTTTATACTAGGATTATGGACATTTCACAACAAAGAATACGAGAACCAGTAATCTAAATAACATAACTGTTTGTTACTCGTTATTCATATTATCGATGAATATACTTCAAGTCCTTTTTAAGTATTTTTAATAAACTGTTAAAAGATGGAAGTAGCTCACTTACACTATGATTATCTTTTCAACCAGGTTGTAATAATAATTTTCGAAAAAAAAGGTATTGTAGCTATATATATAAAATTCTAATGTCAACGCAAAAATAAACTTTTTGGCATTTCTTGCCTTTATGAAAACTACTACCTATTTTCTTCGTAAAAACGAATTATTATGCCAGTGAATTTTTCTCAAATGTCATACTATTTCTCCATTGTCAGATTATACTAACTGCTTCCACTTGATTGTTTGTCATTTTAAAATATTCCTCTTAATGGATAAATTGTAGAATGCTGAATAGTTAAGTGATGTGTTTAGATCCGACCTAGTTGATTGAAATGATATCGTTGGAATAATTTGACAGAAGAAATATCGTCTGAATCATAAATTTTTTTAAAGATTATATTACAAACATGATTTTTTTGGGGTTAGATCAAGTAACACTTAAGCATCGTTGTTTATTATGAAAGGGTATCCATTTGTCTGTTGAAGCTAGTTTTTTACCAAGTACAACTTTATGTACTCGAATTCGGACTACATCCTTTCATTTGAAGTTTAGTG